TCTCTAATGAGCTGGAAATCACTTTCCCTTGAGGGTGAAGTGAGCCGTTAAACTCTCATTATCATTTTTATGAAGTAGGAAACATTTGCCAGACTTGTAAGAGGGATGGTTCCAGCAACAGAGGACTCTGCACTTAAATGGTCTCATGTCCATAAACGAGGGAGACTTACGATAAAGCATTTTCCTGAAACAACCATTCAAGGCTCTTGGAATCAAAAGTCGTCACGATGCACATGTGGGCAAAACAGCTGCCTGTCCTAGGGATCTTTGGGGACAGTCCAAGTCTTCTCCTGGGTTATGGTAACAGCATTAAAATATGAATGGAGTCTCGGCTATCCTTAGAAACTTCTAGTCCCGAGGACACACGTTACACAATTACAGTCCTCATGAAAGGCTTGAACACCATAAATGTGTGTAGAAACGATAATACCTTCTTTCGGGCTTTATGTGGTTTTGACTCTGAAATGACGGTGGGGGTGCAGAATCCCCTATTCCTAAATGCATATTCTTTTTTTTTTTTGAGTTGGAGTCTCACTCTGTCGCCCAGACTGGAGTGCAGTGGCCGCTCCCGGCCACCGCAGCCTCGACCTGCTGGGCTCCGGCGATCCTTCCGCCTCAGCCTTCCGAGTAGCTGGAATTACAGGTGCGCGCTACCACGCCCGGCTAATTTTTGATTTATTGTAGAGATGAGGTCTCGCCAAGTGGCCCAGGCGGGTCTCGAACCCGCGGGCTCAGGCCATCCACTCACCTCAGCTTCCCAAAGGCGCGGGATTACAGGCTGAGCCAACGAGCCCGGCTCCTAAATGCGTATTTAAAGCAACGTTTCAGAAACACTGTTCAACATTGACCCTCAACGTGTTCCAAACGTATTTCTGGGAAATGCTACATACCATTTTGTTTTTTTCCTAAGTAAATGTTTCTGATCCTCTTAAAGGTTCCAGTACGACATGCAGTGAATCCGGTGAGCACACGTCCACAGATGCACGGGATAATCCTGACTTATGCCCACCCCAGCACAACTGTCACTGGTACTGCTTTCTCTCACACAACTACCCCAGTGTGGACAATACGTTAGGTGGTCACCTGCCCATTTTAACTTGACACGGTTTAACCCGGCATTTTGCAGTCTTCCTTTTCCGTGGAAGCTGTCTGTCCTGCGAGGTTTGTCAACCCCGCAGGGAAATGCTATTTTGCAGCTTTCCTAATTAACACGGAAGATAATGTCTGACATTTGTTTAATTTTACAAGAACTTACTCTTGTCCCTATTTTTTCGGCAGCAACCATAAAGATCACTCACAGGAAGCAGACGGGATAGGAGACAATGAGGCCACAGCGCGGCCCAGTGGGGAGGGACGTCGTGTGCAGCCTGCCTTTTCAGGAGAGGAAGGATGCTCTAAGTTGCAGCTGTGGAGGGGGAGGGGTGGAGCCCAGCCCTCCAAGGTTTCCAGCTCAGCCACACTCTCTGTGCGCTGGTGGTCCCAGTGGCAACCTGTAGCCACCGGTCTCGGCATCCCTCACCCTCACCGCCCAAAGTTATCTCCTCCCACCACCTGCCACCAGGAGCTCCCTCTGAGCTATCACTGATCAATGTGAACTGCTCGGTACAGAAAGTCTCTACATACAAACCTTCGAGTTATGAACTTGCACGATGCACACCTGCTCTTTGTAAGATGCACTATTTCTGTCCACCAGGTAGCAGGATAGCCTGTCAAATACATGCAGTACTATATATATAGCCAATTGTGTTAGTTGGGTACCTAGGCTAACTTTGCTGGACTTAAATTGGGCTTTCAAACGCAATCTTGGAGTGGAACTCATTCATACTTTGGGGACTTCCTGTAGCCGGCGGTGGCCTGGCACTCAAGAAGCCGTGTGGTTGCCCAGCCTCCATTCGGGTCTCACCGAGCCTTGGCTGGTTGGAAGAAGAAACCTTCCATGTCGGAGCACTCCGCCGCTCTGGGGAGGACGTTTCCATCTATGGCAGCAGATATCGAGGAAGTGTGGCTGGCCTGAGAGGCTGGCAGCAGCCGGGTAGCCTCCTTGTAGACAGGAACCATGACCTGGTGTGTTGGTGGCCATGCCATTTCTTCCTGTGTGTCTCTCCCTCTGGGATCCAAGAGGGAGAGCTTGGCCTTCCTTCATGGCCATTGTCACGAGAACTTACTGGGAGACCATTCAAACCCAGATATATCAAAAACACATGAATGCCCTTCAAACTCTTCAAATATTTTAGGTGCTTCCACCTCGTTCACATTTATGCCAGAATAAATCATCACACCAGGGTAATCCCTTTGGGTCCCCTCCCACTGTGGAAGCTTTTCTGTCCTCCCAAGAAATCCTGCTTTCTTAAGAAAAAAAAAAAAAAAAAATCATCACCCCATTGAAGCAAAAACCGCCCATCACATGGAAATAGAGAAATGATTCCTGCCAATAAGAAAATGGATTGCCATCTCAAATAATCTGTTTATAACTAACAAGTGACCCAGTATTTACTGGAAACCATCTTCTGGAGAATATTTACGTTCTAAAGGAATTTTCAACATTGCCCAAGCCCATTGTTCAATATTTATATCCATTAGCTTTCCTTGTAACAACAGCTAACACTTATACAAAGTTTCATGCACCCAGGCACCGTTCTAAACACTTTCCATGTGTCTACTCATTTAATGCTAACAACATTCTGAGATAGATACAAGTATTACTGCCCCCATTTACAGATGAGGAAGCTGAGAGGTGGAGAAATGTACTAACCTGCCCCTGATTACCTGGCCCATAGGTGGCAGTTGTCTTGTCCCCACCGACTGCCTTTATTCTGTAGTGTAGTTTTATAGTATAGCTTTTGAGAGAAGTACTATTCTTTGCTTGTGTTCCTGTTTCTGACAGCTCATGCCCTTGTTTGAATATTGCAAGCAATCAGGAATGGCTATGATAAATATTTCACTCAATAGAAACCATGTTTCAGAGGAATGAAAGACCAGTATTCCATGAAGTGCCTTGGACATAGTAAATGTTCAATAAGTAAGTGTTGATTCTTTCTGCTAAAGTATGTGAAGGCTATGCCAGCACTTCCTAAAAATAGTAACCTGCATTATTTCCTATTCTTTAGTCTGATTGAATTATCAAAAATTAAACAGCATACTTCCCAAATATAATGGCTTAACTGCCGGTTGGATATATGGATACCAAAAATTTATCCTGGGCAGCTTTTTTTAACTGTTAATTTTCCTTTATAGAAGTTAAGACATTTTACTGACTTGAAGTGTCCCCTCCAAATCTGTGTCTATCCAGACACTCAGGATGGGACCTTATTTGGCAATAGGGTCTTTGCAGATGTAATCAGTTAAGACGATGTCGTCCTGGATTCGACTGGGCACTACATCCAGTGCCTGGTGTCCTAAGAAGACTCTGCACCAACATGGAGACACAGAGATGCACAGGGAGAGCCCGTGATGGCCGAGGCAGACGCCAACCCGACCCGGAAAGCCAAGGAGCACCAGGTGTTGCCAGTGACCACGGGAAGCCAGGAGGGAGGCGAGGGCCAGACCCTTCCTGAGCCCTCCAGTAGGAATCAGCCCTGCTGACGCCATGACTGCAGACTTTGCACCTCCAGAACTGTGAGGTAATAAACGAGTACTGCTCTAAGCCACCAAGTTTGTGACACGTTATCATGACAGCCCCAGAAAACCCATGGGGACACAGATGCCAAACTCAATATTTGCTCATGGTTAGAACTTTGCAAATACATCAGTTGTCTAGACATTAGCAAGAAAACGTATCTTGTAAAATTTCTTTTTTTTTTCTTTCTTTGAGTTAGGGTCGCACTCTGTTGCCCAGGCTAGAATGCAATGACACGATCACAGCTCACTACAGCCTCAACCTCAGGTGATCCTCTCACCTAAGCCTCCAAAGTAGCTGGGACTTCAGGCACGTACCACCATGTTTAGTTTGTTTTGATTTTTGTAGAGACAAGTTCTTGCTATGTTGCCCAGGCTGGTCTCAAACTCCTGGGCTCAAGCAATTCTCCTGCCTTGGCCTCCCAAAGTCCTGGGATTACAGGCATGGGTTACCACATCCCATAAATATCATTTTATTTTATTTTATTTTGAGTTGGAGTCTCACTCTGTCACCCAGGCTGGAGTGCAGTGGCACACTCATGGCCACCCCAGTGTTGACCTGCAGGGCTCCAGTGATCTTTCTGCCTCAGCCTTCCAAGCAGCTGGAACTACAGACACACACTACCATGCCTGGCTAATTTTTGACTTTTTATAGAGACGAGGTCTCATCAAGTTGCCTAGGCTGGTCTCGAACCCGTGGGCTCAGGTAATTCACTCGCCTGGGCTTCCAAAAGCCACTGAGCCTGGCCTATTTCTATATTAAACACACCGTTTTAAACATACACAGCCTCAATTTGTCTAAAATGATTACTTTTCAAAGCAGTCTTTAACTCTCCTATGCTTTTGAATAAGCTGAATCTCTGCCAGTTTAATTGTTGGTTGGTGTACAGCGATAGAAAACTAGAACTATATTTTCTCCATTAACATTAATAACGGATCATTTGATTACCACATGGCAGACTATGCTTTAAGCTTCTCATATTGTGCAATTAGTTTCACAGAGCTTTTGGGGAAGGTCACATCAGACCTTTTTAAGACAGATAACCTTCCTGGTCTTCTTGGTTATTCATAAAGATAATACAGTAGCTTTGGAAATGCAACATATGCCGAGAAGGAAGAGAGAGCCGCTGGTGGTTAAAAAGGTTTATTAAAGAAAAGAAAAGAAGGCGGGGGCAGGGTTGGGGGGGAGGTGTCTGGCTCTAGAGAGAGAAACCAGTAGCCTTTGTTCTCTTGCAGACCACTTGTGAAACCCCAGTCTTGGCTCGTTGGGTGTTGAGAAGTAATTTTAGGGAGTTTGGAATTGGGAGCCAAGAAGTGGTTTTGGGAGTTTGAGCTGTGGTCGTTTGGCCTTCACATGTGGATGTCAGTACTGTGGAAGGCCGCCCTCACGGGCTTGGAGTGCCGACGTCCGCACTAAACCAGTCACACTTGTCTTTGCAACGCAGCCTTAGGAAAGCAAACACTGACAGTCAGTGCCGGGCTGTTATCCGTCATATCGCTTTGGGATGTGGGCTGGAGAAAGCAGGTGTTGGCAGTGAGGCAATTAGTAACAGGGCGCTGTTAGAGCACAGAATTAGCTTCTGAGCCGTTGCCACTTTGTGCTCCCTTTGTGAGATTTCTATGGCGAGTTGTTTTAACTACGACCTCCTCTCCCATCCTCCTACAAACCCTATCAGGAAACACTTTCTTTTTTTTTTTTGAGTTGGAGTCTCACTCTGTCGCCCAGACTGGAGTGCAGCGGCCACTCCCGGCCACCGCAGCCTTGTCTGCTGGGCTCCGGCGCTCCTTCCACCTCAGCCTTCTGAGTAGCCGGAATTACAGGCGTGCACTACCACGCCCGGCTGATTTTTTTATTTTTATTGTAGAGATGAGGTCTCGCTGGCCAGGCGGGTCTCGAACCCGCGGGCTCAGGCAATCCACTCACCTCAGCCTCCCAAAGGCGCGGGATTACACGCTGAGCCACCAAGCCCGGCTGGAAACACTTTCAAGAGATCCATTTAATTCATTCATTAAGCAAATGTGACATTACTGAATAATACATTTGGCAATTATTTTATTAAGTGGACGCAAAAATGACAAAAGTCAGTTCTCATTATATGAAGCCAGTTTGTAATTATACAAAGACAGTTTAATATTTACTTTATTTGCTCACACAGCCTCTCCTTTTTTACCCTAGAAATATTCAGTTTTGAGCAAAAAGGACAAAAAAAATCACACATCTATATTTTGCTTTTGATGCCACTTGGCAGCTGCATTAAATTCTGAAAATAAGCCGGGCTCAGTGGCTCAGCCTGTAATCCCGCGCCTTTGGGAGGCTGAGGTGAGTGGATTGCCTGAGCCTGCGGGTTTGAGACCCGCCTGGGCAGTGAGACCTCATCTGTACAATAAATCAAAAAATCAGCCGGGCGTGGTAGCGCGCGCCTGTAATTCTGGCTACTCGGAAGGTTGAGGCAGAAGGATCGCTGGAGCCCAGCAGGCCGAGGCTGCGGTGGCCGGGAGCGGCCACTGCACTCCAGTCTGGGCGACAGAGTGAGACTCCAACTCAAAAAATAAATTAATTAATTAAAAAAAAAGAAATTCTGAAAATATAACTCAAATATACTAAAAAATGACAATGAAACTAAAGCTGCACATTTTTTGTTGTTGTTTAATTTGGCAATTTCCTGGCTTTCCATGAAAGACCATGTAAGAGACAAAGCACACAACAGGTAGAAACACATGATTTTTCAACTGGTACAAAAGTCATGTTTACTTTTGGAATTTTTGAGTCACTGGGAAAGCTTGCTCACAGTTGGAATCACCCACAGAATCACACACTGAACTGTGTCCTGGGACTCACATAGAGAAACAGAGAGGAGGGTGAGATGCAGGTGTTGACTGGCTCTCATCCTAGCCATCAAAATATAAATGATGGCTCGTCCATTTTTCATATGTAAAGGGAAGGAATTGTTGCAGGAAAACAGAGAGACCGTTACACTGAGGCTGTCTTAGGAAGTAGTGGTTTATTAGCACCAGCACGACTTGGGGGCTAATGCTCCAAGGCTGAGCAACCTGGAGAAAGAGAAGGGTTTTATCTGTTAGTTTAGGTAAGGGAGGGGGTTGGGTTGTACCGCTATACATCTTCCTTTGAAATTTACAAGGTGGTATTTAGAAAAACCAGATTTGCAAAGAACATTGTCTCCAGGGTACACATGACAAGCAGGGGTTGTAAACCGATAGCTTCACAAAGAGAGGATGTGGGGGTAAGGTTGTGAATGGATTACTATTTTGCTTTTCCAGGAAAGCGATCTTTGGCTATTTGGTTTTCTCAAGCCCCATGTCTAGCAGGTCTGGAACTTGCCCGTTGATTTTTAAAAGGAATGATTTTAATTGTTTTCAGTCCCTCTCTGCCACAGTATGATTATCATTTTTTTTCTTTTTTGAGTCGGAGTCTCACTCCATTGCCCAGGCTGGAGCACAGTGGCACGCTCATGGCCACCGCAGCCTAGACCTGCTGGGCTCAGGTGATCCTTCCACCTCAGCCTTCCAAGTAGCCAGAACCATAGGTATGTGCTACCCCACCCGGCTATTTTTTGTTTTTTTTATTGTAGAGATGAGGTCTTGCCAAGTTGTCCGGGCTGGTCTCGAACCCACGGACTCAGGCAATCTACTTGCCTTGGCTTCCCAAGGTGCTGGGATGACAGGCTGAGCAGAAAAAAAGGTAGTTGGAGAAAAACAGTGTAATAATCACATGATTTCTCTTTAAGTTTTGGGCTGGGAACATGTTGAAATAAATGTAGTACCTCCTAATTCATCAGCTCCACCTACAGATGAGGTCATGTGCTTGTTACCGGGGTTTCTGCTGACGTCTAATTGGCACTGTTATACCATGCAGTGTGTGCGACTAACTTCCACGGCCATCTTCACTGGCTACTGAGAGTTCTGCCTGAAGTGAAAACATTCTCTCACCATAGATAGTATATAAAAATTAGTAGCGATATCAAGCCATGGAATATTTGCTTTTTTACGCTATCTAAAAACAGAAAGTTGAGCCGCATTTGGAGAAAAGAGCTTGTTTCCTTAACTCTTCATTAAGTGGATATGGATTATTTCTCGCTCTTTCAAGTTTTACATGGAATGAACTTAATCAGACCATTTGGAAACATCCTCTAAGTCAGCCTAGATGCATGAAGAAGAATGCGGGTAAACCACCAGAAGCTTATTTATTGGAACCGCAAAAACAAAACAGACCAGAAAGTACATTAAGATTCCTTCCACAAGTCAGTCCCTGGCTGGGGGTAGACTGTGTCTTATTGTTAGTCTTATGAAAGCACATTTTTCAAAACTAAATATGCTCAGGAAACCATGGGATACTGGCCGGGTTCTGCACACCGAGTCTTGGCTTTTCCAGCCCCATAGAGCTCAGACAGTGGATGGGAGAGCAGGGGGACAGGAGTCAAGCGAGCGCCCATCCACAGGAGCACACATCCACCCGAGGGGCGCACAGACCCCTGGAAACAGGCAGTCACCACCTGCACAAGCATCGTATTTGTTAATCCAGCCGCTCTGTCCGCAAACCCAGGGACACTTACAGAGTGGGGATGGAGGAGCGAAAAGCTGAGGAAAGACTGGGAATCCCAGTCTCCATCCCACCACATGCTTCCTGCAGCTCTGAGAACGGGGAAGCCAGGTGCCAGGAAGAGGGAGGGTAGAGGAGGCTCCTGGACGCTGCTCACACCCGCACCAAGACGGCTGGGAAGCCATTGAAGAAATCGACATCAGTGATCTGTGGGGATGAAAGGACCGTCGTCTCTCAGCTTCACTGCACAACATTTTTATGCCTTTGCTCATAGCTAAAGGCAAGCCTTGGGCACACGGTCTGCAGCCCTTTGTCTTGATGCCTCTGCCTCTGGGTAGCCAGAGTCCTCTGGCCTTTTCCCCGGCAGCCCCCAGCCCCAAGTCACCAGAGTTCAGTGGCATGCATTGCGGCCACTTGAGATTCGGTGGAGATGGACCTCCCACGACATTCAGACAGAACCCGGTGCCAACCCAGTCATTCCCGACTGAGGACTTCAAGTCTTGGTGTTCAGTTAAGAACATTTCAAATATCAGTAAGCTGGTCAGCAAAACAAAATGAAACAGAGAAACCCCCAAGCAAACAAAAGCAGAGAACCGGGGAGCAACCGCTGTGTCAATGAAGTCGATAACAACCCTGGGAGGTGTCGCACTGGGAAGGCTGTGAGGGGACCAGGAAGGGGCTCCCGGGACATCCAGACAGAGGAGCTCCGGCCCTGGCCCTGGCCAGACAAACTGGTGTCAGGCCAGCGTGAAAACTTTCATGGGTGCGCCCATGAAACACAAAGGCACCTTCGAAGTGAGAAGCCAGCATTGGCTTGCGTGGGCTCCTGCCTTGTCTCCAAGTAGAGCAAGCCTGCTATCTTCAGGCTAAATGCTGGCATTTCTTTCTTTCCTATGTGTAAGATATAGCTGATTTTTCCCCCGATCCCTTTTCTTAATTAAACAAGCACAGTAAGTCTCCTACATACAAGCAAGGTCCTTTCCAAGCGCACGTTCGTTAAGTCCAATTTTTTTGGCAGGTCCAACAAAGCTTAGGTACCCAACTAACACAATCAGCTATAGACTACTGGACTGTAATAGGTTTATAGTAGTTTTCATGCAAATAATACATTAAAAATGAACAAAGAATAAAGAAAACATTTAAAATCTTACCGTACAGGACCTTGAAAAGGACGCCAAACACATGAATTAACATGGGACTGGACATGCGATTGCACATTTTGCATCTTTACAAATTTGCAACTTGAAGCTTTGTATGTAGGCAAATTATTGTATTGTTCTCTTGAGGCAACTGCTGAGAGCTGGCCTCTCTGCCAACTTTTGTAACCAAAAAGTCTTTGTGGGGCTTTAAACCCACTGAACTATCCAGATGTAGCCACACACTCACGCGATTTCCTCTAGGCCTCTGATCTTGGCTTGGATGGACACTTGTCTAAACAGCAGTTGTCTGTGAAATGGGACTGCTGTCCACCGGTGAAGAAGTGGAGGGTTGAGGCCCATCATCCAACATTCCCGCCCCGACCTGTGCCCAGAGTAGCAGAAACGAGAGGTGGAAGGTGGTAGCCATGGTTTTATTCCTTGGTATTCACCTATCCTTTGTGCAATTATGTTTGTTATGTGAGGCATATTTTTTCATGTCTCTAAAGTTTTATGAAGTGCCTGCATAAATAGTCCGAGTAAACTGCTCAGTGTGTGAGGTCCAGATCTGCCACGGGCACTTAGAGGGAGTGAACGGGCAGGGCTGCTGGACTGTGTGTCCAGGCCAACTTTTCCCTTAGCTAGGACAGTCATCTTACTTTCCCTAGTACACTGTTAATTTTCCATAGGCCAAGTCCACCAAAGTGCAGGTATCCTGCTTAGGGTAAAGCTGTGGATGGGACCGACCCTCCTGGGACCTGTCTGGATTTTGATCCAATCCCCTTTGGCCAGAACCACTGCTCCCTTCATTCTTCTGCCTCCGGCCGGTGTCCAAATCACAAAAGGTGAAAGAGTGTATACTGCTTTTGAGACCTTTAAATATCCCATATGTTGAAAACTCTGATGAGGCCTAGGCCCTACAAGACGTGATTCCAAGGAAAAAGACGAGAAGTCCAGATTTAGTCTCTGGCCTCCAACCTAAGAACCGGTTCAGGATTCTGTGTTCAGCCTCTGTCTCTCTCTCAGTGAGTCGCAACTTACATGTAAAAGGACAAAGAGAGACCTAGGAGTTGAGTCAGCCGAATGATTCACTGATCCCACCACAGCCTAAAGGATGCCGCGATGATCCCACTTCCCAAGCGAGCAAACAGAAGCATGGGAAAACTGAGAAGCTTGTCTAGGTTCAGAAAGTTGGCAAATGGGGTCGTCATGTGTCAGATTCCTTCCCATCTCCTTGCCCCGTGGCAGGAAGGAGAGACAAGGTCCAGTTCTAGTGTTGCAGTAGAGTGAGTGTGTTGCGATGCCCTGGTCAACACCCCCTTGACAGGAAATAGGGAAGGCCTGAGCATGGGCCCTGGAAACTTTTATTTTATTGAGAGACCATGTGCACACACACACATGCACGCTGGTCATGATGTATTTGTTTCTTCCTGTGGTCTTAGAGATGAAGCTAAGCCACCAAGCTGCACTCCATTCAGGATTCTTTGTTCTATAAAAGCCAATTTGTAGGCTTGAGAAACATTGTTTTAAGGCAGGGCACGGCGATTGTATTCTCAGTTTCTTCTCCCAGAACGGAGATTAATAAAACTATCGATTCATGCCATGCTCCACTGCAATGTTCTGAAATTCCCCAGGGTGACTCTGGAGAAGGTGGCTCTATCTCGTTTCTATGGTGTTTGTAATTTAAAAAAAAAAATTCTGCGGCATCGACCATGCAGCGTGCTTCTAGACCAAGGGCATGGGGCTGTGGAAGGTGGGGAGGGTGGTTAACCCCAGAAGTGAATGCTGGCGATGCCCTAATTATGAACACACGCCCAGATATGACTGATCAGCCCTTGCAGGACCTATTCCAGTGCCTCCACCCTGGCTCTACACAGGACCATCTGAGAGCTTCCAAAAAGCATTTCTCAGTTACGCTATCTTATTTTTAAGATCGCATAAAATAAGGTCAAACTTTTATTTTCTTTTGTTGTACAGGCCAGTGAGTTTTATTTTTTTTAGAGACGGGGTGTTGCTCTGTTGCCCAGGCTGGAAGGCAATGGCGTGATCACAGCTCACAGCTGCCTCTAACTCCTGGGCTCAAGTGATCCTCCCCCCTCAGTCTCTCACGTAGCTGGGACTATATGTGTGCACCACCATATCCGGCCAATTTTCTTATTTTATTTTATTTTATTTTTTAGAGCGACAAGGTCTCACTTTATTGCCTGGGCTGCTCTTGAACTTTTGACCTCTAGCAATCCTTCTGCCTTAGCCTCCCCCAATGCTGGAATTACAGGTGTGCACCATTGCACCAACATCAGTGAATTTTAATGCATGTATAGATTTGTATAATCACCCTCACAATCCAAACATAATTTCACCACCCCGCAAAGCTCCCCTGTGCCTTCCACCCCTTCAGAGTCATAATTTTCCCACAACTGTTACCCCTGGCAATCATGATTTGTTGAGAAGCTTTTTAAAAATACCAATGCTGTAGGCTGAGGTGAGAGGATTGCCTGAGCTCAGGGGTTCGAGACCAGCCTCAGTCACATGGCGAGACTTTGTCTCTACAATAAATAAAAAATAATTAGCCGGCCATGGTGGTGTGTGCCTGTGTGGTACTGGCCGCAGGATATTGGGCTCTCTAGGGGAGAGGCAGACATTCATCTATCTGAAAGGTAGTGGAATTCTGTTTCTGTCGTGTTCTAGGCTTTGTCGGGAGCAAATCCATCGTGCTTTACGCGTGTCTAGACTGCCTTAACAGAGAGGGAACTATAAGTTCCCTGAGCCTTCTGAGAATTGCGGATATCTGTTTCCACTTGTCTGTAAATATTAGCTTTGCAGATTGGAACTGAGACTTGCTTTCATTGTCACTGGCCATCTGGTAGAGAAACGCTGGGGAGGAAATGTCATTCTCTCCAATTTCTAACTTACAAAGCAGCCGATCTCAATCTTAGCCACGCATTAAACTCTCCCGGGGAAATTCAAACTTCCTGATGCCTTGACTGCACCCAGAGCAATTAACTTGGAGTCTCTGGGAGTGGCACCCTGATGTCATTATTCTGAAAACTCCCCAGGTTTGTAGCCAAGGTGGAAAGGCTACTGATATCTGCCAAAACCCATCTAATAATTTTAAACAAATAAATTGGCTCAAATGCATTCAACTCATTAGCTGACTTCTGTCTTCCCTCCCTGACACATGGGCACCTGCCTCCCAGCAGAGCCCAGGTAGCTGCTTCGGAACCCCACACCACTGCAAGCTGTCTTCGCCACAGACGCCGCCCTTTCGAGCCATAAACATGATTCAGAAGATGCAGTCACTGTCTAGGGCATGTAACCAAGTACTCCCAAACCTAAAAGAATGAACACTGATCAACTCGTGGTTTGTGTGGGCTACGAGTCTGGGATGACTTGGCTCTGCTCGGCGTTTCTAGCGAGGCTGCATCATAGTGCGTCATCTGACGGCTTGACTGGGGCTGGAGTGTCTGCTCCAAGCTCGCTCACGGGGCTGCTGGCCAGAGGCCTCAATTCCTGGCCACATGGATGAAGGTCTTATTTCTCATGAGGCTGTCTGAACACATGGTCACTTCCCTTTAATTTTATTCATTTGAAGCTAGAAACTAAGTCTGGCCCTTACTCAAGGTTAAAGAACTGGGCTCCAACTCTGGAAGGGAAGACTATCAAGGATTTTTGTGAGCACATTTTTTTTTTTTTGAGTCGGAGTCTCACTCGGTCGCCCAGACTGGAGTGCATGGCCGCTCCCGGCCACCGCAGCCTCG